TGTCTGGGATAAAGCGATCTTTATCCCAGAAAGCATACTGCAAGTAAATGGGCTGTGGCGATCATATCATTACGAGCATGATTGTGATTCTACAAGTGGTAAGAAATTTTTATTTTAATATCCTTTAAAACTAAGGTTATATGACATTGAAAATGTTTGAAATGGCTTACTTCTGTTGGTGTACAGTAGGAAATATTGAGCAGATATGGTTGTTTATTTTGACCTTGTTTCTTCAAATACCTTTCTAAAAAATTGCCCAGAGCACAGTTTTCTGTCATCCGTTTTAGGGATCCATTCTGTCTTCGACCCACTACCTAATTGGAAAGTTAGCAGTGATTTATTATTCAAGGAAAGAATGTTTTAAAAAATAGTATATGTTTAGTACAACACTGTGCCTAAATCTTCAAAGTGCCAAATGCTTGCAAAATGCCAATAAGCATAACATTATGCAAGGGCAATACTTGTTTGGTACATGCTTACAAAACCTATCAGTTATTCACTCAGCAATGATTTTAGTTGCTGTTATAAGTCATCAGTCATTTTTTCCATTGTGTTTGTGTGTTTTCTAGGTAGAAGGTATTTTCATACAATCTTAGTAACAGCATCCAGGCTTTTGGACGATGCCGTCTCAGATGTGTTCTTGATGTATCACAGCTTTCCTTTAGACTTCTACAGAGATTTCCTGTTAATTCTGCAGTGGCAACTGCATTTCCTATCAGAAGTTTCCTCTTACCTATATCAATAGAATTCATGGTTGCTGGACTTATAATGGTGATCACTTCCTTTGGTATACAAATACCAAATTTTGAATAACTAGGGTATACACCTGAAACTAATATATCATATGTTAGCTATACTTTACTTAAAAATTTTTAATGAAGAATTCTTACATTTATGTTATGTTCATTTGAAATCAGTTATACTCAACTACTTAACTGAGGAAATATTCTTTTTAAATTAAAAAAAAATTTAAACTTTTCAGTTACGGTTGACATACAATGCTATGTCATTTTCAGGTATCCAACATGGTGATTAGACATTTATATAACTTACAAAGCAATCACCTCGTTAAGTCTAGTACTCTTCCGACACTATATATAGTTATTAAGATGTTATTGACTGTATTCCTTATGCTATACTTTATACCTGTGATTATTTTTCTAACTGGCAATTTGTACTTCTTCACGCTTTTCACCCATCCCCCCACCTCTTGTCCCATCTGTCAACCATCCACGGGTTCTCCATATCTATGAGTTTGTTTCTGTGTTGTTTATTTATTTTATTGTTTTAGATCCTATGTATAAATGAAATCATATGGTTTTGCCTTTCTCTGTCTGACTTATCTCGCTTAGCACAATACCCTCTAGGTCCATAGATGTTGTTGCATATCTCAATATTTCATTCGTTTCTATGGGTGAGTAATATTCCATTGTATATATGTACAATTTCTTTCTTCATTCGTTTATCAATGAACGCTTAGGTTGCTTCCATATCATTGTTATTGTAAATAATGCTGCAGTGAACATAGAGGTGCATTTATCTTTTCAAATTAGTGTTTTGGATTTCTTCAGGTAAATACCCAGCAAAGGAATTGCTAGGTCATATGATAGTTCTATTTTTAATTTTTTGAGGAAACCGCGTACTGTTATCCATAGTGGCTGTACCGATTTGCAATCCCACCAACAGTACATGAGAGTTCCCTTTTCTCCATATCCTCTGAAACACTTGTTTTTTCTTGATTTATTGATAAAGCCATTTTGACAGGTATGAAGTGATATCTTATTGTGGTTTTAATTTGCATTTCCATGATGATTGGTAATGTTGAGCATCTTTTCATGTCTATTGGCCATCTGTGTGTCCTCTTTGGAGAAATGTCTACTGCTTTTCTTTCTTCTGGGTATATTTCATTATGAGTAGTAATTTATT